GGGAACGCAGGTCCCCAGGGTCCCGCGGCATCCCACCTTCCCGGGAGGAGCGGGGAAGGCAGGCGAGACAAAAAGAAAAACACGCTGGGTTTTACGGAAGGCGTCCGGATGAGACACAAGATTATTTTTTTTGGTGGATTTTCCAGTCCCAGAAAAAGAAAAGATGCTGTTCAATACACAGGCGCAATAATCACAGAGTAGGGCAAACAGGTCCCCAGGGTCCCGCGGCATCCCACCTTCCCGGGAGGAGCGGGGAAGGCAGGCGAGACAAAAAGAAAAACACGCTGGGTTTTACGGAAGGCGTCCGGATGAGACACAAGATTATTTTTTTTGGTGGATTTTCCAGTCCCAGAAAAAGAAAAGATGCTGTTCAATACACAGGCGCAATAATCACAGAGTAGGGCAAATCACAGATAGATATTTTTAGAATGCATTATTATGGATATACTGAGAATGTCTGCATAGTTGATGCTCTGTGAGTGCGTGTATGTGGAGCGTGTCTGTGTGTGTATTTTCCTAGCTATAAAATTCCGAGTGAATTACGATCAAACCCCCTAGTAGTCACAGTGCTACAGACACAGCTCTCTCTGCAAGCTGGTTCCAAACAACATGTATCCAAATCTGATGTGACCCAAAGCACTAAAGGGATCAGTAAATAAAATTGCGGAGGAGACGAACATTACTATATCCGAGGTGCAAAATGTTTTACCAGGAAAACGAAATAGTGGGAAACGTGTAGGAAAGAAAGTGGGGAAAAAACAACAGAGCACTTTAGATTATGCTGGGATAAACTTGGAAGCAATAAAACTAAATGTAACCCCTATATAATTTAATAGTTTAGTGTCAAATCGCAATCCAAACGAAACCCTGCAAAAAACAAATACATACATATTCTGTCAACTTCTACCAAAAAAGGAAGAGAGAAAAATATCGGAAACCGTTTAAGCACGTTATTTAACCGTTTATTTTAGCCGGCACCTTAAAACAGGAATCAAGAGAGGAGGCTCAGAGAGGAGCAGTGTTTATGGCAGACCTTGCAATGCGCTGCTGTCCACTTCATTCCAAACTTACTACTATCCGCTTTGCACAAAAGCACACTCAGATTTGTTCTTGTGCAAGAGAACCCGAAACGGTTTTTTTACAGATGTGACAAACACGCAGTGTGTTTTGGTTCGGGTGGGGGAGAAGTTGTTTGTTTACTTTTACCTCCTCTAGAGCCTTAAGTCCTTGCGCAAAGCCAAAAGACAAGACAGCTAATAGGGAGGAATCGACAGAAACTGAAGCTATTTTTTCAGCATGTGCTACACTGATTACTTTCATCCAATGCTTGCAGAGATCACAAAATCCCATCGCTCCGAGCACTACTGTTTGCACTACACATTCCCACCATCACAACTATACATAAATAAAATTATGGCATTACATTGGTATGTTAGCCACACAAGTCCACTGATACAACTTATTTCTTTAAAGGCATTAACCAACCTATGATTAGGGATCGGTTTATAACCAAAGTAGTTTCTTGTAAATCCACTTTCAATGAAATACAATTTTTCAGCTTTGCTTTTCTGGTAGCAAAAATATTCTGGGATCCAGAAATGGGATTTAAGGATCCAGTATTCTATCCCACTATTTATTATATACACGTGTATGCATATACAATATATATAGATATATGAAGGCATCATGCCACGATATTTATTCCAGGAAAGATCATTTTATATTGTTTAATTGTACGGAGAAATACTAACTTTTCCAAAGAAAACCAAAACCGTTTAATTAGAAATCACGTTCCACCCTTACAGTATAAAGGCTGTTTTTCAGCCAGTATTTCAGGATTAAATACTCTCACTGTCTCCTTTAAGTAAATTTCTACATAGCATTAAGAGAAATAACACATACTGATGAAGTTTTAAAACCCGAGAACAGATATCTATCTTGCACATGCCCGTATCAGCCTACAAGACAGCTATTAACCAAAATACGAGATAATTTCACTTCAGAATTAAATTTCTTAACAAACAAAAAAAAGTATACATAAAATGTTGAATCAGCTTACACTTCAGAAATCTCTTCTGCTTTGCTAGCTTAATCCTGGTTAGAAGGATGCATCTTTTTTATTATCTAAATGCATTAATATACAAGTACTATGCATAATCAGACATAAGACAAAAAGTGGTAAAGTTATAAAAATTTGCATCCATCTGTCTCCCTGAAACATATCTTCTAGTTCTGTTTGCCATGTTTGCAAAACCAGTCTTCATACATACTACTATTATTTCAAAAAAATATTATTTAAAGGCACTTGAGTTTGGATTTTTTTTCTTCATAAATGCTATAAAGACTACCTCAGTGTAGACATCCTACCTGAAAAATAACACAGAATTGGATTCTTTGGTGTGTTTCCATTCTGCAGGGAAAAAAAAAATCGCTGTGCCAAAATGTTATCTGTATAAAATCATACTTTGCCTCTTCCTAAAAACTTTGGAAGGCCGGACAGGCTGGGGGAAGGGAAGGAGTTCTTGGACGCTACCAAAAGACTGGTCTATCTTTCTGTTTTCTCGCAAGAGCAGTACCGTTCATTTCACCCAAGCGTTACTATTACTATGCATATTATTAATAATTAACAGTTTCATGCCTTTCCCCACGGTTTTATTTAATCTTTTGGGGTACCTTTATGCTTAATTTTCTTCCGATTTAGCATTCTGCACACGTTTCCCCCCGATCTGTTATTTTAAGGGAAAAGCTGTATCTTTGAGGGGTTTATTATGTTTAGGGGGTTGAATGACTCTCCCATTCCTTCACCTCCTACCGTTTCGGTCTCTCCCCTGTCTATAGCCGAGCTGATGGCCGGTGCTTCGCTTTTGGTTCTCCGATCCATCTCGTCGATGACCCCGTGCATCTCCGAGCCGGAGAGACTGTGGAAAAGCATCGCTGAGGAAGCAGAGGAGGAGGCCCCGAGTTGCTGCTGCTGCTGACAGTTGTCGGGGTCCCTGCAGGAGCCCAGAACTTGCATTAACCGGAGCCCTCCCCCATGCATCTAGCACGGCCGCCCCGTCTCTCCTCGGGCTCCGGGCTTTTCACCCCGGCAAAGATCTCCAGAGTGCAGCGCAGGCACTGATCCGAGGTTTCAAGGGGACTGGGTGCAGAAAAGGCGAGCGAAGGGGATGAGGGAGAGGGGGTAACTGGTGGTGTAAGCTTCGGGGCTTGGATCTAGTCTGTTGCGCGGCCCCGGCACATCCCTCTAGGAGGCTTCTTCAGTGCAGGGCTCATTGCCCCAGGTGCAGTCCCAGGCTTTATGCTCTGGCCCAGCTGGCAGAAGGCTGGGCAGGTTTACGGTTGGGAGGGATTAATAAATAATAGAAATATAAAAAAATTAAGCTATCTTCGGTGAGAAATAAATAATAAAAAAAAATAACGACAAGCCCCCTACATCGTACTGTGCGAAATTTAGAGGAGGAAAGCAAGGGAGAGGGAGGCTGCAGCAGGCGGAGAGCAGGCTGGTGCTGCAAGGAGGATGGGGCGGATGCCCACTGTACGCACTCAC